AAGGATTTGTAAACTAAATTGCTCCAACTTGAAATGTAGGACTTACTATCTTTTCTTAAGCCTCTGTCTCGGTACCAAAGAATGAAAATTGAAGCCAGGCTCCACTGCAGAACCGTGGGATGGCGTCAGTCACTTTACAGGGTTGGTTCGTAGTAACCTGGACTTGGGTACAAAACCTTGTGCTTCTGGGCATTGTCTTTTAAGTGAAAAATCGGTGGAGCTGATACCCTGCTTGTCAGAACCCACATGGGTCTTCCTGCATTTCCTGCAAATACTGGAATAAAAACCAAATTAGAGAATTGCACAGCTCAGGAGAAAGGCAGGCCCTCAGAAGCCAGGGGCTTTTACAGGAAGAGCTCTTGTTTAAGCAGAAAGACTAACCGATCACTTTCTGTTCCGGTATTTAGAAGAAATTCCTTCTGCAATATGGATGTAGTTCGAAGTAAGCAGAATAAACTGTGACACGTGAAGCAATTTGTTCTTGCCATCCCCAAAGGAAAGGAGATGTTGGGGACCGTGCAGCCAGTCAATCAGATTGCTTTTCTCATCAGCTGTTTTGGACTTTTAATTGACCACTTCCCAGTCCCCATTGGTTTAGTTCTAGGGTGTCTGAATGACCCAGATGGGGAGAACCTCATTTTTTAGAGAAGTCCTCCAGTAAAGTATCCAGAAGCAGCAAAGTACCTTGAATCTGCTGCCTCAGCTGCCGTGTTATGGGGCGGGGAAGTGGCAGGAAATCTCATTTTGTAAAAGCTCCTTTTCTTTTCTTGAAGAACTTAATAGGGAATCCTTCCTCAGTTTCCTTTCAGTTGCCTCTTATTTTGTCCCCAACGTCTAAGTTCTTTGATTTAGCTCATGTAATTAAGACCCACATGGGTCTTTCTGCATTTCCTGCAAATAAGCATTTTTATTGTTTAAGTATTTTTAAGCATGTAATTAAGCATTTTTATTGTTTTTTATTTTGGAATAACTTGGTGCTGATCATTTTCTCACTCCCAGCCCCCACCCCTGCCACTACCCAACAAATCACCCTTTAAACACCAAAGACAATGGGTTTTAAATGGTTTAAAAAAAATTTTTTTTTATTGAAGAAATGGGTCTTGAAAGGTCTTTAATGTTCTCAGAAACCTAGGTCATGATTATGACTGGGATGACTAATCAAGTGTGGTTACTACCTTTGGGTATTCCAGCTTCAGTTTCATCTCTTCTTCCCGGTCTCCCACGTGTGGGGAAATCTTGGGACCTGAGTGGGGAATTTTCTTGGTGAATGGTGGTAACTAAAATTGCTTGCTTGATACTTTTCTATGGCTTTGGAGGTAAAGCCTGAGTTTCCACACATGGCTGAAATGACCAGGCCTTCCAGTGACTAGGCTGACCGGTTTGCAGGCTTAAAGCTAGTAGGTTGTCCCTGAAATGAGTGTGTCGGTGGGAGGCACTGCCTCCTCTTGCCCTCGGTGCTGGTGTACATCTCCTTACCTCTCTGCACCCAGAATTGTGCATCACTGCCATTTGCAAAATGTGGTCACACTTGGGAGGATTTTGTTTTTAAAACATTGGCCACCTGTGGCCGCCCACGATTGACTCCTGACCCACAGGGATTGGTGCGAAGCACGTTGGAGCATGTTTATTGGACAGTGCGGCATGCTCCAAATCAAAGAGGAGAAAAGCCAATATTTGGAACCTCTAGTGTGAGTGAGGCATTTCAAAATAGGTGTGTTCAAATGCGGATCTCCTGCCCGTGATGAGGTAATGCTAGGGTAGGTAGGAATTGGGTCAGAAAGAGAACTCTTTAACACAGTGAGAGGATAAGGTCCTGGGTGCTGGAAGGGAGGAGATAAAGTGTTTCTGTTGAGTAAATGTGGTATTTAGACAATGATCCCCGTGTATGTCTCGTCTGGTCAGGTGGTGGGGAGGGCTGTAAGGTCAGCTTGTGTTTGGAGATACCAATTGGATTTGAATATATAGGTTTGGGTATTGAGATGGCTAAAGGAAATCTAAATAATGCACAAATAAAAACCACTTTTGGTTGACACTGACTTAACATTTCAAAAGTGTTAATCTTTTGTTTTAAAAAATCATTCCTTTGTAAATTGGCCGCGAGAAGCAATGCTCTCTCAACCTGTGCTGTGTTGCGGCTGGCAGGTGGCACGCAAGTTGGCTGGAGCCCAGGGCCCTGGGCAGTACCCCAGGTGCACTAACTCTTTGACTGATGGATGCCCTTTTAAGTCTAACTTATTTAGGGAAACACAGGGGTACCATAAACAAAATCTAAACTATGTATTGGGCCAAAAAAGTTCGCCAGATTTAAGGCACTTTGAGATGGAGCGGTAAGAGGATAGCTTGAGGTTGGCTCAGTCTGTATATCAAGTCTAGTTAAGCCAAAGCTTAATGATTTGAGGAGGGATGTCTTTTAGGCTTGAAGCAGCAGAATACTGTTTGTCTATGTGCTGTCTTCCTCTCTGGGAGATTCGAAGATTGCTGTGTTCTGGTAGATAGTGAAAGAAATGCCAAAGTTAACAGGCTTGTTTTTCTGTTTGAAACAAAAAAAAAATCCAATGGTGCCAAAAAGTATTTAGGGTATTTATTGAAAACACCACAGTCTGGGGCTGTATAAAAGTCAAACGCTTCTACTTGCGTGTGATGATGCCACAGAGCCACGGCCTCCCGAGGCTCTGCAGCTTTCGCTGGCTTCCTGCAGGCCAGGGGCACAGGGCACGCGCACTCCACTCCACTCCACACCACAGCATTTGTTTCGTTTAGTTTCTACCTCACTTTTGGCAAAAGTCATCTACCTCATGTTAGCATCTGACGGGTCTCTGAATAGTATTAAAAACCACTGGAGAGTGGGTGGGCGTAAAGCTACCTCTAGAAGGAAATGTTTTCTTGAACCCAGAACTGATTTCTCCCAGGAGAAACGTTTGATCTTGAAACTTTGAAACCAAATATTCCTATACTCAGGCAAATGTCAGAAATCCAAGTGTTCCTTACCAAGCTGGTGCCCCCCGCCCCCCGGAATGACGCACACTGTTACCATGTTGTTCAGTATTATGGAACTACTGGTCCATCTGACCTGTGTGAGGGCTTAACTGCAAATAAGGACCTTTAGGTCTCTTTCTCTCAAGAGAAAAATATTTTATCTGTCTTTTGAATGTCGGTCAGGCATACCCTTTTAGGAGCAATTCTAAGGGTCTGGTTGTTGGAAGCATCAACTGTTTGAAGGGAATGAGAATCTTTAGACTGCGTGATTGTATCTGTGGCTTTCCTAGACCCAGCTGGATGTTCATCTCTGTGACATGGCAACAATCACTGGTTCACTGAGCAGTGACTGGTAAAAGTGTGTGTTGCTCTTTTGTTTTGTCTTTAAATTTTTTTTTTTTTTTCTACCAAAGGTAACATGTTGACGGGTTTTTCTTTTCCTCTGCTTGTTTATTAAATACTTGATAAAGTTGAGAAGCACATTACCATGATATACTGTATTGCCTCTCTCCCTCTTCTTCCCTAGTTGATTTTTGTTTTGGTTGGAGGAGAGGATCCTAAGACCACTGTAATGATTGTG